AGGTAGAGATTGTGGTCCAAGTTCTAGTGCTCAGGTCGGATGGTGGATCCACAGGTGTTTACTATTTTACAAACAGAAATTGTTAGGTGGAAGGGGGTGTGGGGCCATTCAGGTGCTTCTTTCAGTAGGCGGTGATGGCATTATGATTAACTCAATTCTTCCTACTTGAAGTTCATTTTAAAAAGTCTTGAGGGAAGCTCTCTGGACCCCAAATTGGGGAGCCAGGGATTTAATGGGAGACCTTGGGCAAGTGAGGGAAAGTCCTTAAGCCGTTTGCTCGGCTGTGAACTGGGTGTAAGACTGTATGGTCCCCAGTAGATGGGGGCATCCAACAGGGTGTTCGTAGTGAGCACTATGCCCCCTCCCTCCTCATGCTTCCACCTACGGGGACCCCCTCCCCTTACGCGCTCTCCCCTGTGAAATGAGGGTTTTTTGTGGGGGGACTGGCCAATACAGGGATCGAACCCCGGACCTCAGTGTCATAAGCACCAGTCTTACTGAGCAGCCGGCCAGCCCTAGGAGGGAGGGTACCATGCACCTCCCTCAGTCTTACCCACTGCAGGGGTCTCATCGGAGTGCGGTCAGCGTCATCACGGTGTGCCATTCAAGGGACAACATGCTAACAGCCACCTGGCCACAACGGAATCTGAGTCCCTTAATCTGCCTGACTTCCAGGTTAATCTGGACCCAGGTAAGGAAGAGGGTGTTGTTTACAGAGCCCTCAGAGCCCACCTGAGACAGACCCAGAAGGGTGCATGAACTGAGGCACTCCACCCCTGGCTGTCACTCACTTATTTTCTTCAATGGCTGCCTCAGAGCCTTGATTCTAAAGGTGATACCAAGAGCGGTGGGCACAGAGACTGCTTGAGGGCTGGGCCTGTGCTTGGGCTGGGAAAGCGAGTCCTTTCCTTGGTTCTGATGATGCACAGTTCCACAGACTTGTCACGCAAACGAATGGCCACTCTGTGAATTAGCACAGGCTGCTAAAACCTAGTATTTGTATATGGAATGCAGTGTGCTGCTAGAGGTTCCTGGTCACCCTAGTTCAGGGTTCTCCTGAAAAGTCTGGCTGCCTTGTCACCCTTGGCAACACAGCAGAGCAAGTATTTCGACAAGTACTTACTGAGCACCCACTATGTGCCAGCAAGCACTTATGAAAGTTCTGCTACGGGAAAGCGCTCTGAACAAAACAGCAAAAGTAAAATACATCCCCGCCTTCAGGAAACACACACACTAGCAGGAGACATTTAAGAAAAGAAAAATACCTAATATGTTAGATGATGATAAGGGGTAAGGAGAAAAAAATAACCAGAAAAGAGGTTGGGGGAGATCAGGGAGTGTGAGGGGTGGGCTGTCATCTTAAAGAGTGGATCAGTATAACACCAAGGTCAAGGCTTCAGATCCCCATATAGGCCAGCCACCAACAAAATAAATAGGGGATCAGGAAGGCCTTCCTGAGAAGGTGCTGTGGATTGATTGAATTGTGTCCCCAAAGGTCATATATTAGAAGCTTAATCCCCACTGTAACTGTTGAGGGTGGGAAATCCTATTATGGTAATTGAAAGGTGGGGCTTGAAGAGGTGATGAGATTGTAGGACCATGCAGTAGTGAATGGATTAATAACGGTGGTCAGGAGCATGATTTTGAGGGCTTTAAAAGGAGAGCACGTGACAGTCTCTCTCTGCTCCACCATTTTCTGCCCCATGAGACCCTGCATTGCTGTAGAGTCACCTCCCCGGCTGTGTTCCCTGGACTGTGTTCCCTGGACTGTGGATTTCCCAGCTTCCAAAACTGTAAGCAATAAATTTCATTTTCTTATAAATCACCCAGTTCCAGGTATTTTGTTATAAGCAACAGAAATGGACTAATACAGAAGGTGATATTTGTGTAAAGAAATATCACATTTGGAGGATGTGAAGGAGTGAGCCGTGTGGGTATCTGGAGAATGAACATCCCAGGCAGAGGGAACCACAAGTGCAGAGGTCCTGAGGCAGGAATATGCCTGGCATAACTGAGAATGGCAAGAGTGGGGGAGGGGGAAGATGAGGCTGGTGGGGTCCAGATCTTGCAGGGTCTTGTGGGTTGTGAAAACTTTGCCATGTCTTCTGGCTGAGGTGGGTGCCAGGGCTGGGCGGGAGGAGGGCGTCCTGAACAGAGGAGGGACAGGATCTGATTTTAACAGGACCTTGCTGGCTGCATGGGGAGACTAGACCATTAGGGAGGCAAGAGGAGAAGCAGGTCCCGGTGAGGAGGCAACCACCGTAGTCCAGGGAGACGATGGCCACCGGGACCAGGGTGGGGGCGGTGGAATTTCTGACAGAATTTCTCTCTGACAAGTGAGAGCAGCTGGGCTCTCCTCTGGCATTTGGGGGCCAAGAAAGTTTGAGACCAGGTTATAAAATAGAGACATGGTCATCAAGATAGACCCCTTCCCACAACCTTCTAGGATTTCTGTTATGCAGGCATTTGAAGAAATGTTTTAGGTCTTCACAGCCTAACATGGAAAAAAATCCAGGATACATTGTCACAGCTTTGCTTCCTCCCTCTTGATTAGCATCCTGTCTGCTTTCTTTTATCCTTGTGCGTGGATATTTTTTTTCTTCTTCCTCTGCTAGTCTTCATGACTGTTTCTTCCTTCAGGTTACTTCTTCTCTGTCTGTGGGACCTCCAACTATTTCTTTCAGCCTTATGCCCCCACTGTCAACACCACGAGCAGCCACTTTTTAACTTAATGGCTAGATTCCAAGTTCTCCATTTCTTTTAACCCTGGACCTTGGCCTTGTCAGCACCACACTCTAACCTCTAACCAACTGAGATAAACTGGCCAGCCCTCTCTAGTCGGCTTTAAAGAAGCTTCCCTCTCAGGAGTCTCAACCATCGCTCCCACTGCCTGAATCAGGGCAGTGCTGGGCACAAGGAGGATGCCCAGCAAATTTCTTTTGAATTGAATTGGTTTGTGTGACAGCAACCTGGGTGTTGGAGCAATTGAGGAAGCGTTATCCAAATAGTATTTTTATGATGATTATTTAAGATTTTAAAACAAAGTTATTTTTACCCCAAACTGTCTAATTGCCTCAGTTCTCTAGTTCACTCTAGTATGTAAATAGTCATCTTAAAAGAAATTCTTATTTTTGATAAGAATTGTACAAAGAAATAACTTCATTCATTTGCCGTACTGGTAAAGGAAGGATGAAAAACAAATGCGGTGCGTTTTATTCAATGACTTCAGGCCCATAGTAGCTTCTATCATGTCATTTTTAGGAACCCAGATAATCAGAGAGTCTTATAAATCATCCCTGCTGTGTTTTGTTTTACTGAAACAGGCTGTATTTTTATAATATACATTATCGAAACTATGAAAATGGATTGGGCCTGTCTACAATTGATACTAAAATAAATTTTGCCAAAATTGCTTCTGATTGCATGAAAAAGGATTTTGTGCAATTCATATGCACTTTTAAAATGTAATCCAGCAATATCTTGTGTTAAGAGTAAGCTTAACTTCACAAGGAGTTAATAAGATCTTACTACCAACTATTTCTGATTGTTCCCTCCCCTCCCCCCCCATGTAATAGAATTTCCGTATAAAAGAGAGCAGCCCTTAAAAAAGAAAACACTGTACTGAAATTTAAAGTTATAGTATTAGGTTTTCCACACCAGGTGGCGCTGTTGCCAACTCTATGAAATTGGTTGCTCCATAATTATTTATTTTGCAAATCGCGTAGCAGGACCATACTGTCAGAATATGATTCGAGGAACAGTAAAATCAGAAGAAACGGTCAGTCCTAACCCATTATCAAGCTACAATTTTGAGAGTTCTGTCGGGAAGCAGTTTCTTCATCTTGAGTATTTATTTTGCACTGAGATAGATTCCGTTAGGAGCAGAATAAAAAATTGAAGAAAGGTTTTAGAATGTAGATCATAGGCAGAAAATTATTAAACTTCAGTATGGACATCTTAATTTTATTTCAAATTATTTTTAAATTTAGTTTTATTTCTTGAATATGTAAAACATTTATATGGTCCAAAAGTCAAAAGTTCAGAGAAGTCTTACTTCCTTCTCTAGCTCCTTCTTACCACACCCCATAAATAATTATTTTTATTAATTTATTTGTGGCCTATCTTTACAGTGTTTCTCTTTACAAAATATGAATATATGTATATTCTTATCCCCCCTTTTCCTATACAAAAGCTAACATAGTATACAGTGTCCTACACATTGCTTCCCCCCCCTGCCACTTGAAAATATGTCCTAAAGGTCAGCCCACATAAGGCACAGAGATTTTTCTCATTCTTTTTTACAGGTGCAGAGTGTGTCATTGTATTTATTAAACTAGTCCCTTATTGATGGGACTTTGGGTTGTATCCAATCTTTAGCTGTTACTAATAAAACCACAGTGATGGTTTTATGCATATGTTATTCCATATTTGTGGAAGGTATATTAGTTTT